TAGGAATGGTGCTTAAAAGAAATAATCTCACAAAAAAAAAAAAAAAAAAAAAGAGTAGCTGAGTCTCAAAATCCTAGGAAGGGAAGAGAAGAGATCAAGAAGTGGACATCGAGGCGCACTGCCTGACAACCAGTCATTCTGCAACAAGTCTGGGGGAAGAAGGAAAGTTGAGACCCCAAAACACCATTTCCTAAATATCATCTGGAGCTTACGGGGGAAGAGCCTCAACCCATAAAGAGTGCCCACACCCGTCCTTCCCTGGAAACAGACTTTATCAGTCCTCTGTTACAAATGAAGGACCAGGCAGCGGATCACTGAAGTTACTCGCTCAAGAGGGAGAGGAGTTTTCAAAGCTGATCCGTCACACCATGGAGCCCGAGTTCTTTTCTGAAACCAGAACACAGGCTCCCAAGAAGGCAAGTGGCTGGCTTTGAAAGAGATCTGGCAACACCACGATCCACCCTCCACCTCCACCTCCCTGACCTCAACCAAAGAAAGGAAGTAACTTCCAAAAGAAATTAGACAGGGGCTCCAAAGAAGTTCAATTTGCCCTTCCTCCTGCCTCTCTTACCTTGGGAATCTGAACGAGGTGAGAGGGGCAGGCAGGGCCCTGGGTGTGTTTGCTGCCAGCAAACAGCGGGGTGGGACTGCGGATGGCACCCAAGAGCAGAGCAGCCCAGACAGGCAGCTGAGACCGGCTGGTTGACTGCCGGCACCTCGGCGGCCCTGCGAGGCTCCCCTGCACTGGCTCTGGGGTCCCGAACCTCTCTGGAGAAGACCTGAAAGAACCAGATCATAAAGACTGGGGAGGAAGGGAGAGGCCAGATGACACGTCTGCTGGTTTCTCCTCTCTGTCTCCAGGCCCTGGGGACAGGGTCATAGAAAACCCTTTGATGGTTCAAAATTTAACCTACTGTTTCTTCTCCCATAGAAGTAAACCATTAATCCAGAGGGCTAAAGCTGCACTCACCTTGGCCTCAGTTAAAGAAGGCCCCGGCCGGCCGCAGCCCCTCCTCCCCTGCTCCCTACCGTCTGCTCTCTTACCCCTCCTGCATCACCGTCACCAGGACTGAGCTGAACACTGGTGTCCTGGAACTCACGCTTGCTCGTACTCTGACTTTCCCATCAGCTTCCAGACAGCAGGGATGCAGTTCCAAAAGGGAAAGGGAAGGGAAAGGACCTAGAGGATTCATTCAGCAAACAGGACGTTGGTATCTGCCAAGCGTGAGGCACAGAGAAGGGGACCCAGGGGACCTACACGCATGTGCAGTGGTGGGACCCGGGGACCACCCCGAGTGAGGCTGGCATGGGAAAGCCACCTGCTCGGATCAGCTTCCGAGGGGACCCTTGAGAGGTCCCCGTCTGCTCCCCGGGTCCTTGGGGCACAACTCCCAATCTTGTTGTTAGAACTTCATTCCAGAAGTTCAAAGCTAGAAAGGCAGTCGAGCTTCCCCAGCCCCCTAATTTAACCACTCCCCCATTCTACTAAGTCACCCGGTAGGCATCCCCAGTCACACCCTATGTCTCCTCGGTATGCCAGGCTCACAAATCCTGCAGGAATTCTGCTGCTTTGGGCTTCCAAAGTGTGGCCACCTGTTTGGGTTTTGTCTGTTTGAAATTGGTTTGCAGATTTAACTTGGGGACCTTGCCCTCTTCCTTCCTGCCCGGCTTTAGGCTCTATGCTTGCTCCCAGGGTTCAGGTGCTTTACTGGCCCGTGGCTGCTGGAGGACAGGAAAGCAGAGGGGCAGACCAGCGAGTCCTCCTCTGCCTTCTGCCAGGTTCTTGGCATGTCTTCTGGGTGCCATGCCAGAAGGGTGGGGCGAGAGAGGTTCTGCGGTTCAGAGGGACACACCTGAGGAGACTTTGGTCACTGTTCCAGGAAATTAACCCACCGGATCCCAGGGAACTGCTGGAGGTCATAGGCAGAGCAGGGAACCCCAAATCTGATGGATGGGGGAGTGTGGACTCTGGAAGTCCTGGCTCTCGGGCATGGGTTGGTGACCACCTCTCATGAACGTCCCGAGATTAAGTAACACTAGGCACAAGAGGAAAGGGACCTGGATGAACGGGGGTCAGGGTTCTGCTGCCACAGAGTCATCCATCGTTGGTGTCCAGACTCCCAAATAAGAGAAAGAGCCCAAACGACAACATGGGGGCTTCGGCGTCAGATGAACCGCGTCTGCGCCCCAGCCCCACATTTCCCTCCGGGTGACACGGGTTAGTCATTTAACTTCTCCTTCCCTTATTGCTAATACAGGAATTACGGTCCGTCAGCCCCATCGGATTATGAGGATTAAGAAAGATACATATAAAGGGTTGGCATCATTTGTCACACAAGTCATCGGAGTTAATGCACTGTTGACCGTTAGAGTGATTCCTTACTCGCACCCTTGGACACACACACACACGCTCCCTTCATTAAACATGTGAGCTGAACGCAGAAGGCTGGTTGCAGCAGCTACAGATTGTTCTGCCACTTCCTGGGGGTACTGAGGGGTTCCTGGAGACCCCTGCTTCCAGGGGAATGCCCTTCCTTGGGTAAGGACCCAGGAATGGGAAGAGAGAAACTCACCAGATCTGAGCGATATCCCAAAGGTGGGGGACCTGTTCCTGCCCTCAGTTGGTGACTTCAGTAGAGAAAAACCTCCTGCTTCAGGTGGCCCCTGTGAGACCTCAGTCCGGCACCTCAGTGGGGTGCCTCTCCCTTGGTCTTTTAGGAAGACTGCTCATGGTCCAGAAGTGTGCATGGGAGACCGCGGGGACCGTTCCAGTCCAGACCAGCTGCCTGCCAACGACTCTCGCCCTTCCCTTCCCTTCCCCGCCCAACTTCAAACACTCTAGACAGTGCGGGCCAGCCTTTAACCCCTTCGATGGCACCGGCGGTCCCAAGGACTCCTGGTCCCCGTCCTCAGCATTCCCCTGAACACAGGGCAGCCACGGGATTCAGGCTCAGGTGGAAACAGGTGCAGCAGGGCAAGCTGGGGTCACAGTGAGGGAAGAGATGGAGGAAGCTGGGGTCCTGGAGAACTTTCACCCTCCCTCCTGCAGGGACAGGGAGACACTGGGGAGAGAGAAGAATATCTCAAGGAACTAGCCAAGCCGACAGCTGGAAACCTACTTAACTGCAAGGTCCTAAGGGGCGGGCGAGGTCCTTGGCCCTCTCTCAGATCTGACTTTAAACCCTTGGCCTTTCCCTTTAAGGGGCAGGTTACAGCAGGGAAGAGGAAAGGTTGTATTTTTTTGTGATGAAAGTACAGGGAGGAGACACATCTGAGGAGGGCCTAGCTCTGGCCAACAGGAACAGAGGTGACCAGGCAACTCGGCAGCAGGACTGGCCTTGTTGTGGATACGGCGGTGGCAGGATATCTGCTGGCTCCCCCACCCCTCCCTGATAACAGCGTCTCAGGGGGCTGACTCACCCTCCTGCTCCTGGGCAGACTGGACTTGCTGAGGTCATGGGAGCCCTCCCCGCTGACAGGTCCCAAAGTGTTGGAGATGGTGGCTGGCTCTGCCCCTCAGCAGTCACGGGGCGTCCCGGTCCCCTCGGTAAATGGGATGCTCGGTGAGTGTGTGCGGACAGTGGGTCGTTACTCAGGAAATGAAGCACCTCTCGCTGGGGGCCTTGGAGAAGCCTCTTCACTCTGTCTTCCCTGACCTAGTAAACGAGAGGATGGGGTAGGGCGTCCGTGGTCCACCCTGGCTCCACTCTCACTCCGGGGGACAGGGAGAGGGCAGCTGCTGTGGTTCCAGACACAGAACTGCACATTTGTTCCTTCCTGGCTGGTAGGAAAGCCGCGCGAGGACCAAGTGGCAGTGGTTATTTCTCACTTGGTAAGAACACAGGGGAAACGCCCCCCCCCCAATCTTCCTGGTGAAGGGTCCTAAGAAGGCCTCTAACTGGGGCCAGCAGTTAGCATAGTGGTTATGTCGCTGGACTCCCATGTAGCTAACTGCAGTTCGAGTCCCGGACCTGGTGGCTTTGAACTCACGCCGGGCGCGTGTGCATGTGTGCCCAAGATCCCGGGAGGAGAATGGAGGAGAAGGGATTGTGGCGTGGCCATCCCCCCTCAGGGGGGAGCAGGAATTTCTCGCTTTCTGTCTCTCTGTTTCTCCCTGTCTGTCTGGTGAGCGCATGAGCCCTGTAGCAAAAAAACTCCAAAAAAAAAAAAAACAATAAAGGCCTCTAATTAAACAATCTCATGAAATGACTCCTCTAAACAGTCTTGGGACTGTGCAGATGACAGGGAGTGACTTCTCCGAGCTCACGCAGCCCTCCTGGCTGTGGCCGCCCTCAGGCTGCTCTCCCCGGGGGTGCGGAGTAAGCCACAGTAACTTCCCAGCCTCCCACTGGATCGCCACTGCCCCTGCTGTGTGGAAGTTCTCACACCTGTTTGCCATCTATTTTTCTTCAGACGGGGCCCCAAAGTCCAGTATGTGAAGGGGTGGAAATTGGGGCGACTGGCTCCTGGTACCGGGGCTGGGTGTGCGTGTGGGCAGATGCCAGCTGAGTGTGGACAACGTGGGAGGGGCAGAGGGCTGGCCTCCCGGGCGGAGGGGAGCGGGACCACGTTGGCAGCTGGCTGATGATGTGTACTGCCTTTCTGGGAGGAGCCTCTTTTGGGGTCCCCAGTCTGCAGGAAGGACCTATGATAGGGGATTACTCTCCCTCTCCCCTCAGACCTGCACCATTGGGGTTCACACCTTCCTAGGGGCGGGTGGCAGTTAGAGTGGAGGACTCCCTCAGCTGTTCAGCCACCTCCTACTGAATTACAAGAGGTTAAGAGGGCTCAATCCTAAAGCCAGCAATTCCAGCCAAGCCTCTGCCTGTGGATTTTACAGGCTCTTACACTCTCCAGCACCACTCCTCGAGGGAGGTTCAAATTCCTGCCCAACTCCAAGGAAGGTGATCTCCCAAGAGCTGAAGCATCTGGCTTTGGCCTCCTTTCAAGGCCCCTGTGACTTCAACAGCCTCCACAATGCCTCCCTTGTCACCTGTGTCGGGCCTGGGTTTCCCTCCTGGTCCCCTTCTCCGTAGCCGGGACCAGGGCAAAAGGCTGAGTTCTGAAGGAGAGGACAACGAGGGCTCTCCCAGGCTTTGGGGAAGGACTACCTCCCAGCGCTCAGAGGGAGGAGGAAATCTCTATCACCTTCCAGAGAGACCACCTTGACCCCATCCTCAACCAGAACCCCTCCTCCTGCTGGTTAACTCATTAGCTTTTCAGCAGTGATTACAAAGATGGAAAATAGAGCTCCCTCCTCCAGATGCGAACATGTCATCGTCAGAGAGCAAGATACCTATGGAAGCCCCCTCTCCCTACACTGTTCTCAGCCCCAAGCCTCTCACCCATTGCCCCCTTCCCCCCATTCTCTCGAGCACATCCCAGGTTTCCACCAAGAACACAATGAACAAAAGCAAATGCACAAACCGTCCTTGCCCTCTGACCTGGCCAGTCCTGGGGTGTTGGAGCTGCAGGCCCTGAAAGAGGGATGTGAGCTGGCGGAGGGCTACTCCGTTGGGAGCCTCCCGTTGTCTCCAGGTCCTTTTCATCTTCCTGAAGCCCAGAGCTTCAACTGCTGGGTCAAGGAAAGGTTAAACCGGTTGGGCAGGGGAGCCCCAGGAAGCAGAATCTCAACTGGGAAACTCGGTGGCAGGAACAAAGCCTGTGTTTGTTGCGTTTCCCTCCAGCCTGGGAGGCTGTCCTCGGACCACGGCATT